GGGGGGGGGGGGGGGGGGGGGGGGGAGGAACAAACAAGTCAGCCTAGAAAAAATAGCCAGTCCTGAAGGGAGACCGACCCTATTCCTGCTGCAGTGTCTTGACTGGTAGACTGTGGACCTGCTGCTAACTGTGCTGAAAGGGAACTGCAGCAAAGCCAGAGGAGAAAAATAGTAATCTTGTCTATAATTAATTGACACAAGATAATACCATTCAGCAGTGACTTCAAACACATGCAACAGAGGCAAGATAGGGATTGTAAAAGGGATTGTAAATTGTAAAAAGCGTATTTTATGCCAGCATAGTTTTATGCTGACTGAAGGATGGTGGAGAGCATTTTAACTCAATAGTGGGGAAAATCCCTGAATAGTAATGTCCATACACTTGAGCTGCTTCCTTCCTTATATATTACTTAATGGCTATTCTAGAGATCCTTCAGATCCTCTCAAAATCTGCTTAGGACTGTCCTCCAGTCTTTTGCAGCAGAATTTGAGAGTCCACAGGATGCTGCAGGAAAAAAAAGAAAAAGAAAAGAATGAGGGAAAAGCCCAAGGTGAAACCATATCTGTGCATTTGTATGTTGAACGAATAGTCACAATATTGGATTGGTATTCTGAATTTCTAATTTTAAGTTTCATTACATTATGTTGATAGTGACTAAGACGGTGTAAATTTTTATTCTCTCTGTTGTATTTTCTGGCACATGATGTTTTCTTCAGAAAAAAATGTCACTCCACAAACTGAACATGAGGAAACAGATTCTTCTCTTAGTGATGTACTATGAATACTTATCGCAGTGTTGTCCAAACTTGGCCACTTTAAGATGAGTGGACTTCAACTCCCAGAATTCCCCAGCCAGCCATTAATCAAACTTGGCCACTTTAAGATGAGTGGACTTCAACTCCCAGAATTCCCCAGCCAGCCATTAATCTCATCTTAAAGTGGCCAAGTTTGGACAACACTGACTTAGCGTAAACCCACTAGAGCTAGCTGCATTATCCCAGTTGCAAAATAAGCATTCTGAAATAATAATGAGCTAGTTACCATAATCTTCTTGCCCTGGGAAAGACCAATTTGGTTATGTGAGCCAAACTCTTTGGTTCTCCAGCCAATTTCTCCCACAAAGCAATGCCTGTGTATCCATGGAGGAGGATTACTTGGTGCAGGTCTCCACAAATACTTGGCATCGCTAGTGCCCTCCACTGGCGAAGATGTTGCTCCTATGTAATGACAATAATCCAGTACCTTTGGTTGGTAATTACCTGTGCCATCTGGACCTTGAGAATAAAAAGTATATAATTATATGGAAGCAAAAGATTTGTTTAAAACATGTATTAATCCACTCCATATTGATATTAAACAGATTTCAATATTTTATTTTTAAAAATAGTTTTAATGTGGTGTAATATCCTTATATTTTTTTATTCTCCTTCTATCCTTTCCTTTGCATCTCACTTACACTGCACTCTACATTGGGCTGCTGTTGAAGAGTATCCAGAAGCTTCAACTGGTGCAGAATGCAGTGGCATGGGCAATTACACCTCTTCTTCGCAAGTTGCATTGGCTGCCAGTTTGCTTCCAGGTCCAATTCAAGGTGCAGGTTTTGAACTTTAAAGCCCTTCATGGCATGGGGCCAGGTTATCTGAGGGACTGCCTCTCCCTGATTACGGCCCGTCCCATTAGATAAGGCAGGGAAGGTATGCTATGCACTCCATCGGTCAGGGATTTGCATTTGGTGGGTCCCAGGAGATGGGCCTTCTCTGCCGGCTCCTCCTTGTGGAACATTCTCCCTCCTAAAGTTAGGCTTGCCCCTTCCCTACTGTTGTTTAGGAAGTCCCTCAAGACCTGGTTATGTCATCAGGCCTCGTGGTCTTTGGGAACTGGAGACATTCTTAGGTGGCTCCACCATGATTGATATTCTGCTCTCTCTGTGGAGTTTGTATATTTTAAAATTTTTGATGTTTTCATTTTAATAATCACTTTTTATATTTTATAATAATTGATTTTTATCTATTTGTTGTTTTATTTAATTGTTGTATGCCACCCAGAGTCGCTTTCTGTGAGATGGGCAGCTATATAAATGTGACAAAATAAACAAATAAACAAATACTGGTACAGTCTCTATTAACTGGTTATGTTGGTTATTACCTTTAAACTCCTTCATAAATTTGGGATTGATAACAAAAAGTTTGCCTGTTCTTTCATGAGCCTGCCCAACTCACCCAAAAATAAAAATAATTTAAAAAAAACTTTCTGCTGAGTTCTCACCCATTCCCCAAACTAGGCTGGTGATAAATGAGCACAAGTATTTTCAGTGCTCAGCTTGTGGCACTCTACAGTCCCTGAAGCCTATGTGACTCCGATGCTGGTACTTTTTAGAAATTCAGTGAAAACCTGGTACTTTTTTTTATTATTGTCTTGTTCTGATGGAATTATGGCTTTGGTCTTACAGAATGGTGTCTTAAATGCTGAAATGCTTTTACTTTACATTATTTTGTTAGCTGCTTGGAGTGCCTTCTGATAGAAAACTAGAATAAAAATATTTTAAATCAATGAATAATACTGAAGCTGTAGTTGTACTATGCAGATGTCTTTGCCTTGGGGAAACAGTGGACAGGACTAGCTCAGAGAATAAAATAGTCAACTAAACTAAACTGAAGTTATTGTAGGAGGAGAATTACATTAGTCTGTGGTAGCCAAAGATTAGGGGTCCGGTAGTACCTTTTTAGATTAACAAATGTTATTTGTTAGACATAAGTTTTCATGCTACCAGACTTATTCTGAGTTCTAAATAAATTAAAGTAGTTTAGGTAAACCAGCTAAGGTAGTTACTTATTTTTGCTTAAACAAACTCTTGGGTTTTAGTACATATCGAAAGTTTATTACACAGAACACAGTTGGAGAGAGATCATCTGGGAGCCTGTTAGGATGTTTTCAGGCAAGTCCTCTCTGGTCCTTCACCTGGGTCAGCAAGGACTGTGCTAGGTGGTCTAGTTCCTGGACATCTGGTGACAAATGGACTACAGGACTCAGGACTGTTGGCTGAGCACCCAGGGCCAGCAGCTGCGGGACTACTGGAAGAAAAGTTGTTTACCTGTTGCAAATATATGAAGAAATAATGATCTGCTCTTGCAAATCAAGTCCAACAAGAAGAGGATATCTGAAAAGAATGCACCAGTTCTGGAAAGAACAACATCCAGAATCAGAAATAACAGAACAGAGGCTAGCTGATCAATGTTGATTTATAATACGAAATAAAGTATTGATAGAAGTAGAATTGGAAGAACTGCAGAGGTCTACTCAGGGCAAAGAAATCAAAGCCTTGCCAGAACTAGCTCAGATTGTAGAGGCAAACCAGGGGGAGACAACAGTACAGGAAGCCAGCATAGCTATTGAATCGTTTTCGTTCCCAAACCAGGCACCCTCTCCTCTGCCTTCTCCTCAGAAAGAACAAAGCCCTGTAACTAAAAAACAAGAAGAATGAAAACAAAGAATAACTCAGCATCTAGAACA